GGGGGGGGGGGGGGGGGTTTCTCTCTGTTCCAGCGTTCAGGGCTGTCACTTGTTGTACCGAGCCTTGGCTCTCACAGTTTGTCCCGGAAGATAACCCTTTGACACTGACCGCTGCTGCCCCCCCCCATCTCCTCGGCCTTGTCCTTCCTGCAGAACGTCAGCCCGTCACTCACGGGTTCAAACCGCTGCATGTTTTCGAGAAAGAGAAACTGCAGGTTTTGATTGTTGTGTTGGTGCAAAGATAGAAGAGGAAATATTTGTATGTATTAACACGATGTGCTGACCAGAGCGAACAACACGTTCAATACAAGCAAATCGAGGTGCGAGATGATGACTTGATGGTTCCTGTGTTCAAATGTGAAGGATGTTGAATGGACAGAGATAATTGCAGCAATTGAAGTAATAACCTGCGCGGGGGAATTCTTCATCTACAAGCTTTTTCATGTTCTTTTTTACAGATGGTCTCTTGAAAGGCAGCCAAACTGTTTCACTTCACCTCCGCGAGCACAAAGAGAAGGTCGCTCAGGACTAGCAGTGCCGCCGGGAGACACAGGCTCCGGCCTTCAGTCGGAAAAATTGTGAAAGGGTGCGGAGGAAAGTTCTGGGGGAGAGCTGTGGAGGTTTAATATAAAAGCTCCGTCAGCCCTCCCTTGGCTTGTCTCCACGGGAGGGTTCAGATCGTACATCAGCTCAAGGAGGCCACCTTGAGTACGGCTCGTATCCTGGCAACAGAGCTGAGAGGGAGCAGGCAGTGACGGATCAACACTGAGGGGAATGTGTTGTATCGAGCTGATGTGTATATTCTCATGGTTTGATGGAGTTAATGTTGATTCAGATTCTCATTTTTAGATTGAAGTCAGAGAGACGTTTGACAAAAAATGCATCTCATGGTCCACAGCAGCTTGGAAGACTAGTGATTTTGTTGTTTTGTGGTTTAACTGACAACAAGTCATTGTCTCCCTCACTGCTTCGAGACACAAGCTTCAGCTGCTCCAGCTCCCTGAATGTCCCCTCTTTGCATGATAAGAGAATAATTAACTGTATGAAAACTTTATAATAATAATAATAATAAAGAGAAAAGCAGAAATTCCAGCCTGATGTGTTGATGTTGTCCTCAACGGTCTAAATTTAATGACATAAACTTAACACAGAAAACACTGGGTCAATTAAAGCTGCTTTAAAAGGGATTACTATATATCTTCACCCCGTGTTTTATTTGAACTGAGTTAATGACACTGATAACGAAGATACAACCTTTAACTGTGTTGAAATGCCAGCACAGATCTTTTATGGGGAGGAAATAACTCGAGGCTCATGTCTGCAGGGTTCATGGTAAGAGATGTTTGAGGCGACAGTGTTGAAGACAGTTTTTGAATTCAGTGAAAAACAGTAAATTCAATGCAGTCTTCTCTGTCTTGGAAATAGAAATTAGCAGAATCCAGCTTTGTTTCCTAATTCTGTTCATGCAGAGGTTTTTCATGAGCAGGATCATAATGAGAAAGTGAATTAAAGGTGCATTTCTGAGATTCAGCGACATGTAAAGTTCATCGGCCTAATTTACATGCATGAGTTGGTCGACAGATTCGTTTTTTCGTTCTGATTGTGTGTTGGGTAAATTATCGTCTCGGGGTCAATACAAGTGAGCATTCGGGTTAATCTCATCAGCCTGATCTTATCCACACATGTAACCTGGACTGCTTCTGAATATTGAACCATGAATGATGGAAACCTCCTCTGACACAAAGGTTAGAGGTGAAGTTGATATTGACATTTTCCACAATGATCTACTCTCCTCAGATTCTGCCACAATTTATTTCATTTCAAGTTTATTACCTGCACTTTGGCTTTTTATAAATTAACCCCCGTGTGCTCAGAATGCAAATTTGATATATGGCTCACATAAGCAAAAGATAAACAATACGTCAGTTCAATGTAATGTCGTTCAAACCCCTTTAATGACATTTAGGCATCACATCTCAGCCGACTCCAAGATGAAGGAGTGTGACAGACGAACACGAGTGAAACAGGAGCCCGAGCTCTTGGATGTTATTGAAGCTGGAGCGGATCAACGTACAAGCGTTACTGGGGGATGACCAGGGCCTTGGTCTGGTCCATCACCTGCTTGAACAAGTTCACCATCATGTCGGCCAGAGGCTTGACCTGGGCGTGGAAGTCATCTGTCAGGGGCCTGACCTGGGCGTTGAAGTTGTCGGTCAGGGGCTTGATCTTATCGTTGATGTTGGCGATGAAGGGCTTGACCTGCTCCTGCAGCTTGGCGGCTTCGGACTGGACCTTGTCAACCAGGGGCTGGATCTTGGCCTTGCTGTTCTTTATGTAAGTCCTGATGGAGGCAGAGGAAGTGACGTTATTCAGTTACTCTCTGCTGCTTGTATTTTAATAAAGACAAACGAGCTAAAAACACCTGAAAATCTATCATTTGCCAATAAACCAAGATAATATGAATTTTACCTCAATAACAACCCACTTAGGACCTAAAGACTAAAGTGATTAGGCTTTACTTTTATGTTTTGTATGTATTTGAGGTTTGTTCATTTTCTATTTTCTGTTTATTTAATATCAAATAAATAAGCATCTCCTTAACAATTACAATCATCATAAAATAAAAATGGAAAATCAGCACAACTGAAACTTTTCATTTTGTCATTTTGGCCATGATTGCTTTTGTGTTGGTCGTTACTTACTGGGTAGTGTTGGTCATCTCCAGAGCCTGCATCCTCTCCACCACGTCCTGGGTTGAGTTGGTGATGGTGTCAGACATGTCCGTGATGAACTTGGTGATCCTGTTCAACTCGGACTGGACGTCACGCTTCGCCAGTGACACGGCCTCAGAGCCTGTGAACACACATTTAAACATCTTCATTCAAATCTGCTGATTATAATAACAACTCGATAAACTGCAGGACTGGAAGATGAACCAGGGAAGGTGAAGGTCTCTCTTTGATAAGCGCTGGTTCTCAGCTGCTGTGGTACAAGCCTTTGAGTTTAAGTCTAAAACTTTCACGGTCCTCTATGAGTAAAGAGAATTCATATAGTCGTTGGAAATGTGTCTTACCGTGGGCGACAGCCAGCGCGACCAGAAGAGCGGCAACGAGGGAGAACTTCATGGCTGCAAATGAGCAGGAACAACCTGAAGAAAAGTTTAAAGAGTAGTCAGACAAACTGTGGAAATGCAGTCAACTTGTAAAGAAGTTTCTGTGGAAGAGGAAACACAGAAGTGAAGCAGCAGCAGCAGCAGGAGACCAACCTCAAACTCTTGGGGTTCTTGGAAAGAATGCTGCCTCCTGTCAGGGAGCTGAGGCTTTTGTAGCTCCACAGGATGAGTCAATCACGGCTAATCACGATTTAATCACCTCCGACGTAAAGACGTGACCTCACAAGATGAGCTCAGTCATTGTGTTGGCTGGACCTTGATGCCTGATGTCACATGAAAGACACAGAGTCGGCTCTGTGTGTGAGCTGGAGACAGGCAGCTTGAGAAGTCCTGAAGCGCTGACCTCCAATTTTGAATTTAGTGCAATAATTCACACAGATACAACTGTGGAATGTAACTAAGTCATTTTGGAGGTTTTTGTACCTCTTCAAAGGGAGAGGTTATACTTTTAATTTAGTTTTATTCTATTACTTTTATCTGGCAATTTAAGTTACAGGTAACTTTCAAGATGAAGTTTTTATACACAAAATAGAGGATCATATTATAAATTAAACTACTAAAGTGGCAAAATTACTTTAAATTGAACAAAAACAAACAATTCTGTGTACACACTAGGTCCAGAAATACAATATTGCACTCTA